CAGTCTCTTACCAATACAGTTGCCATGAGAGTCCTGTGTGAAACCACTGATGCACTTCTGTTTGGGATTACACAGGAAAGAGCCCACTGTATTCTCACACACAAAGCCCATGCCACAGTTATGAGTTCTCGTCGTGCACTCATCAGTGTCTGTAAAGAAGGAATAGATTTGCATTAGTTTATCTGCACAAAGCAATTTCTCAATGCATTATTCTGTTACAAGAGGCTCTGTAAATTTAGCTCAAGCTCTCCGGCTGTTAGCAGTACAGCAGGGGGCACTGTGACTCAAGCACAGAACATCTACACACTTTGACTCTGTCAGTGTTTAACTGGAGGGAAGAATTCAATGAAAACATCGCTTGATTTGACTCTGCAATTAACAGAAGTTGAACAGAACTTAAATGACAGTTATTGAATCTCATGAGCAATATGAGAGTTTTTTCTTTTTTTCATGCCGCAAGTAGTTCATTTTATCCTCTGAGCAGGTCTTAATTTGACGTTTCTCTGTTGTTAATATCAGAAGGATACTCTTCCAACATTCTGTCACTGCTTTCATATAACTAATTACTTTTTTTGCCTGCTGGATGGTTGACTAGATACTACCTTCATGTTATGCTTATTGATTAGTCCTCTGTGATACGAGTCACATGAGCTTCAAAGTGCAGCACCACCAATCCTGCTCTTTGGTTGATTATCTTGTAACATATTGAACCTTGGTATCTGCTTAAACCCACACTTTACTGTTTGGGCCAAGGAAATATGAACTTCCTGTCTTTATGACGATTTGCTGAGTGAGCCTAAATTAGGTGACTTTGGGTAATTGTTTTTGTATTAAAAGTGGTCAAAGATGTTGTCATGTTGTTTGAACAAATCCTTGATATGAAATATTTACCTATTAACATACCAGAACAACCCTTTAAGTTGACACGTAGGTAAGGTCAAAAGTTTTAAAGGTATGCAAGCACTTGAATCACAGAGAGACAGTTCGGTTGGGATTAAATCCACCCAGAACTGTATTTATTCTGGCTTATGTTAGCGCTCGCTATTATGCTGACATAGACCATTTGCAAGACATGGATCATATGATACCCAAACAGTCTAATAAATAAGCTGGCCATTTTCAAATTATTGCGTTAGCTAATGAAATAACCATCACCAAAACCACAGAGCATTGTTAATTTAGAGCTAGCTAGCTAACGCTATACGAGCTACTGAAGGGCAATAAAAACAACAGCCAAATTAGGGGTGTGGTATTATTCAGTTTAGACAGGCTGCTCTTTGGTTGATTATCTGTTTG